CAGAGGTCTGAGCCCAGGGTCCTGATAGAGGATAAACAGGTCTGTTTTCCTCAGAACGTTTTATAGTTTATTTGGTCAGATGGTCTTTTGGGGGTTGGTTTTTCCTGTGCAGACGGCCCTGCAGAGAGGCCATGGGCGTTGAATTCAGAGGCCCCTGCCCCTATTAGTTTCCATTTTGTCTCCTGTATTTTCCCATCTGTCACTATTTTATTTAGATAATAGTTTGCTGGTTTCCTTTTCATCTCCTGGACACGAAGCAAAGTCTGTGAGGTCAGGGTGAATAAATACAATGAGGGAGAGCTGGGCTCCAATCCTGGCTCTACCATGTAAAAGCTTTGTGGCTTCCTGCAAAGTTACTCACTTTTCCTTACCTGCAAAACGGACACAGAATGGCACTTTACCTAGGACTGCTGAGAAATCCGTAGACCTCACATAGAGCTGCTCACAAAAGGTAAACCCCATTTCCTCCTGTCTAATAGAATTATAAATTAGCGCCTTGACCTGGTTGGGGGACAGGAGGACTCGGGTCAAACCTCTCCCAGCTGTGGAAGGCGCTGACATGCAAGGGCCCCGGAGCTTCTGACTTGTCACTGTGGGAACCAGTGTCCTCCGAGAGCCGCTTGTCGACATGCTAACATCTGCCAGCAGGGCCGTGGCACACGATCTGCCTGGGCTCTACAGAAACCAGGGCCAGCTCCAATTAGGAAGCTCTGGCGGGGAGCTGAAGATTTTGAGGTTAACCCTGAAGAAACAGCTCCCTCTACACCCGCCTTTTAATTAAATGCTCACGTTTACTTTCCGGAGTTCATGGAGTCGTTTCACCTGCATCGCGGGGCTTGACGAAGCCCGGTTGCCTTGAGTAACAGAAAAGTACAAAAGGAGGAGGCTTCAAGGAAGCTGTGGGACAACACGGGCCCTGCTGCTTCTGTGCCCCTTTGTGGCTGATCGCTCACCTCGATAGGGACCCAGCAGGCGGAAGGAGGGGTCCAGGGAACCATTTCTGCTCCCTGCCTTGGCCTTGGTTCTTGAGATCCCGAGACCCACCTAAGTAAGGATGTGAGTCCATCCCTAGGGTGACCCAAGACTCCAGGGGCCAAGGAACAATTCCTGTAGACTTCTTGGTGCACAGGTAGTAGGCTGGGCTATGCTGTGTGTGCCAGCATCGTGCCCTTAAGACCCTTGCAGTATTGTTGGAGAGACAGGGTTCATGCAGAAAATATTACTGGAATACTTTCGTGCTGAGCAGGGTGATAATGACTATAAAGCAAGTAAGAGCCACCATCTATTCATTGCTTATTATATACCGGGTCCTTTAAATATATTCTCTCTTTTTTATTTTTTTTTTTATTTATTTTTTTTTTTAAATTTTTTTTCAACGTTTATTTATTTTAGGGACAGAGAGAGACAGAGCATGAACGGGGGAGGGGCAGAGAGAGAGGGAGACACACAGAATCGGAAACAGGCTCCAGGCTCTGAGCCGTCAGCCCAGAGCCTGACGCGGGGCTCGAACTCACAGACCGCGAGATCGTGACCTGGCTGAAGTCGGACGCTTAACCGACTGCGCCACCCAGGCGCCCCTATTCTCTCTTTTTTAAAAAAAATTTATTTATTTTATTAAAACAGTTTTTTAAAGTTTATTTATTTATTTTGACAGAGACAGAGACAGAGACAGCGTGAGTGGGGGAAGGGGCAGAGAGAGAGGGAAAGAGAGAGAATCCCAAGCAGGCTCGAACTCAGGAAACTGTCAGATCATGACCTGGGCCAAAACCAAGAGTTGAATGCTTAACCGACTGAGCCACCCAGGCGCCCCAGATATGTTCTCTCTTGTAATACTCGTAACCTGCTCTTGGAGGGTCAGCAAAAGGCATGTTCGCTCTGTCCATGCAGTCGTTTTCTGAGGGTGGGGGCCAGCTTCCGGTCGTGTTCCAGCATCCCTGCCAAAAAAGGTTCCAACAATGGTCCACACGTAATAAGTCCCTCTGTGTGTCTCCTTGTGGCCTCCTCCTACACCACGGCAGCCCATCCTACGTGGGTCAGTCACCCACCACCCCGGCCAGAAATGGTGACACTCCACACGATTTTCAGACCTTCGCCAGCGTTCAAGCATGGGGCTCACTCGACATCAGGGAGGCGCCTGGTGATGGACGACCCCCTGGGTTGTCTGGACCCTGGTTTTCAAAGCCTGGATGTTGAAGCAGTGGTGGCAGTTTGGGATGGGCCCAGCAGGTGGATTTTTAACAGTTCTTCAGGTGCTCCTGATGTATGTTTAAGCGTTAAGAGCCACTGGCCCGGGTTCTCAAACCTGCCTGCCTGTCAGAATTGCCTGAGAACTGTTTTGTGGGGTTTTATAAATTTTTTGTTACTAACTTAATTTTAAAATAAAGGAAAACTTTTAAAACCGCTTTAGATTTACAGAGATATTGGGACGATAATACAGAGAGTTCGTCTACACACCACACTCTGCTTCCTCCCAACGTCTTACATTAGTGACGCATTTGCTACAGTGACGAACCAGTAACAATGCATTGTTATCAACCGGAGTCCATGCTTTATTCGGCTTTCCGCAGTTGTTGCTTAACATCTGTTCCAGAAACCCTTCTTGGGATTGTCGTGTTTCCTTAGGTTCCTCTGGGCTGTGACAGTGTCTCCGACATTCCTGGTTTTTGATGACCTTGACAGTTTTGAAGCATACTGATTAAGTATTCTGTACAGTGCCCCTCAATTTGGATTTGTTCGATCTTTTACTCCTGCCTAGACCGGAGTTGTGGGTTTGGGGGAGGAAGACCGCACACGTCGTGAGGGCACACGCCATCGCCGTTAACTCATCGCGGTTGATGTTGGTCTTTGTCACCTGGTGGTGGGGGACACTTTGACTTCTCCATCTGCCCCAGTCAGGTGTCTCCAGTGTCCAGCTACTGCTCCCGACCCCAAACTTTCCACACTGTGCCGTGTGGAAGGAAGTCACGGGGCACAACCCGCGCCTATAGAGTGGGCACTCAGGCTCCACCTCCCTGTGGGCAGAGAGTCTCCGTAAACTGTTGGGAATTCTTGTGCCTGGGAGACCCGCCTCTTCTCTCCCACTTATTTATTAATTTAATGATTTACTAACGACATTATGGACTCCTGGATATTGATTTTGTACTTCCAGTTAGAATGCAAACACTCCTTTGTTGTGTGGCTCAAGTTGGTGCATCTTTGGCCGCTGGGAGCTCTTTGGATCGGCTCCCCACATGCCTCATCGTTGGGGAGGTTATTTTTTTATTTTTTATTTTATTTTTTGCTACTTCATTCCTTTTCAGCCACTACAAGCTTATCTCATGTGTTTCCTGCCCCAGGCCTGGAGTCAGCCATTTCTCCAGGGAGTCCTGGTTCCTTTTGTTGAGAATTGCATCAGAGACCACCATCTGGGCCCTAGGTGTGCCCACTGCTGTTGGGATGTCACTGGTTCTGGGCCCTCTCCGCTGACAGAGCAAGGACATACACGCATGTCTACTAACCTTTGTATGCACACATACCTGTAACTATCAATGTAACTGTCTATACCAGTATTGAGCTAAGCGTGATGCCTTCCACTCTGAATCCACTATCCCATGGATCGTTCTAGACCCCGCCCCTCACCTATCTATAACCTTATACTCCAGGCGGTCGGACGTGTGGATCCTACCATCTGCCATCCATTTACTGAATTGTCCAGTTCCAGCATGCCTGGGTAACGGTATCAGAATTCTGAACACTCCCCCACCTCCTTAGGAATCGGCTTTGCCAACTACAGTACAGCATTTCTCTAGCAGGCTGTTTTGCCTTTAGTTTTTACAGACTCCAGTCATTCCTAGAGTTTCTGAGGTGCTGAGGCACTCCTGCCCCCTTCAGTGAGATTGTTTCTTTTCTTTCTTTTTTTTTAATGTTTAGTTTTGAGAGAGAGAGACACAGAGAGAGACAGAGACAGAGCATGAGTGGGGGAGGAGCATAGAGAGAGAGGGAGGCACAGAATCCGAAGCAGGCTCCAGGCTCTGCGCTGTCAGCACAGAGCCCGATGCAGGGCTTGAACCCATGGACCGTGAGATCATGACCTGAGCCAAAGTCGGATGCCCAACCAACTGAGCCACCCAGGCGCCCCGAGGTTGTTTCTTTCATGCATTTGTCATACAGTCAGATTCTTTGATCACATTTCTGTATTCCCTCCTTGGATCCCGCCAGTCTCGTAAATGTATTTATTTTAAATGCATACTTTAAGCCTAACTGTCTGTGCTGCAAAGTTCTTTGGGTTTTGACAGATGCTTAATGTCCCGCATTCACCATCAGGGTATCCTAGAGAATAGCTTCCCCACCCTCAGAAATCCCCTGTGTTTCATTGTTCCACCTGCTCTGATTCCACCTGATCCTGGTAACCACACATCTCTTGCCTGATTCTCTCCTTTTGCCTTTTCTAGAATGTCATGTAATTGGAATCACGCAATGCACAACCCTTCTCACTGGCCTTTTGCACTTGGCATTCTGTGTTTAAGACTCATTTGTGTATTTTCATGGCTTGGTAACTAATTTTCTTTATTGCTGAGTAATATTCCCTTATACAAACGTGCCGTTTTGTTTATCCATTCACCTAGTTAAAAGACAGATTGGTTGCTTCCAGTGTTTGGTAATTATGAATAAAACTGCAGGGTTTTTTTTTTTTTTTTTGGTTTGTTTGTTTTGTTTTTCAGCCATCAGATTTCAAAGTAGGGGGTTCCTTGTTGCCGAAGGCCTCGGAACAGAAGCTGAGGCTCACAGGCTATCAAAGATCATATCAGGCCCTCCACAGAGGTCTCTCTCTTAGTTCAAACTTGGAGCTGTGGCAGTTAAGCCCTGGGCCATTCTCCACCCAAGGACAGAGGAGGGTGAATGGGGGGGGTAGGTCCCAGCCACGTCCAACCCTTTCTGTGAGAATCTGAACGTTCTGTGATCACGCTCTGGTGTGATTGCTCCTATGTTGGTTTCTCACCTTTTTTGTCTGATTTTGGAAGGCTCTGCTCTGACCAACGGGGGATTAAACTTGCACAGCCCCGTGAAGAGGAAGCTGGAAGCAGAGAAGGACTATGTCTTTGACAAGAGGCTCAGGTACAGCGTCCGCCAGAACGAAAGCAACTGTAGGTTTCGGGACATTGTCGTGCGGAAGGAAGAGGGGTTCACACACATCCTGCTGTCCAGCCAGACCTCGGACAACAACGCGCTGACCCCTGAGGTGAGAGACAGGGGACCAGAGGGGAGGGTCAGGCTGGAGAGGGCTTCTTGTTCAGAACGGGGCTCTGGCTTCCTCTTGTGTCCCACACACAAACTTGACTGTGGGGCACCATGCACTCATCACTTCACCTACATTACCCATTTGATCTTTATGTCCGGGTAGTGATCCTATCCCATTTTATAGACGAAGATCTCAGCAAACAGATTCAGAAAATGAGTCAGGGTCACACAGTCAGAGGGCAGCCCCAGAATCCAAATACCGTATCTTGGGCTTTGCGGCATGTCAAATTTTTTTTTGCTTTGGACGGAATTATATTCACTCGGCTCTCTTACAGTTTTTTTTTTTTTTTCAATTCAGATATAATCCACGTGCCATAAATTTCACCCTTTTAAAATGCACATGTTTTTTTTAGTCTGTTCACAAGGTCATGCAACCATCACCACGATCTGGTTCCAGAGCATTCCCGACACCCCCAAAGGAAACCCTCCGTCTGCCAGCATCCCCTCCCCATTCTCCCTCGCCATGTCCCTGGTGACCGCAAATCTCCTTTCTGTTGCTACGGATTTGCCAATTCCGGACATTTTACATAAATGGAATCGTATGGTGTGTGGTCTTCTGTGACTGGCTTCTTCCACTGAGCGTGAAGTCTCATCCGTGCTGTAGTGCGTGTCAGTACGTCATGGCTCTGCCATGGTATGGATGTGCCACATTTTGTCCCTTAGTCGTTCCGTGATGGACATTTGTGTCGGTTCCACTTTTGGCTACTACGTTGTGACTCCTGTTGCCACAAACACTCGTGCATGGGTCTTTTTTGTGTGTGAACATGTTTTCAGTGCTCTTGGAGATACTCCTCGTCGCAGAACCACTGGGTCGTGTGGTGACTCTGGATGTAACTTTCTGAGGAACTGCCAGACTGTTTCTCACAGAGGCTGTGCCATTTTACATTCCCGCTGGCCGTGTGCGAGGGCTCTGATTTCTCTGCTTCCTCGTCAACACTTGTTATCATCTGTCCTTTTTATTATAGCCGTTCGAGTGGGTGTCGGGTAGTGTCACCGTGGTTTTGATTTGCATTTTCCTGATGACTAACGATGGTGGGCATCTTTTCGTGTGCTTATTGGCTACTTGTCTTCTTTGGAGAAATGTCTCTTCACATCCTTTGCCTATTCTTAAAACTGTTTTTAATTATTGAGTTTTAAGCCTCCTTTATCAGATGTAGGGTTTGAAAAGATGCTCTCATCCTCTGAGTTGTCTTGTTTCTTTCTTGATGGTGTCCTGGGATGTGCAATGTTTAAAATTTTGATCAAGTCCGTTTTACCTGCTTTTCTTCCACCTTACCTTCTTAATGCTAATGAGGCTTATATTTTAGGTGAACAGAACGGGGAAACAGTGCATACTTAATGCTCTTACGTAGACAACACCATTTAAGATGTTGTCTGTGGGTACTTGGGGAGAACAATGAAGAAATAAGATGGATATTTTTTAAGAGATTCTTGATGGTGCAAATGTGGGAAAAGATGAATCCAAGCAGCCCTCTCCAACTAGACCGACCTGGGACAGGGTGGCAGAGCGGTCAACAACAAAAACAGTGATAGTACCAGCTACCAGTGGATCTTCATGCTCTCTGTTTTCTCTTTATCTCATTTCCTCATCCAGGAGCCTTCCGATGTAGGGTTGTTACGACCCACCCCTTACAGACAAGATGATGCAGGTTTAGAGACCTTGATGGGCTTAGTGTCATGCAGCTTAATGGAATGTAACCTTCATGGAGCAGGACCCTTGCTACTTGCGGCCACCGTATTGTTTCTTACACTCAGACCAGTGCCTGGCCTGCCGAAGACGGCAAAGTCCACACCCCCCTTTCCCCGTCCTGCGATATCCTCCCCCCTCTGATTTCCATAGCACAGCAAAGACACAGAGGCTTAACCGCAGGGGTGTGTTTTGGGGTCTCTCTCTTGCACGTTCAGGAACCACCTGAGGGTTCTCTGCTGTATAGACCTCTGTCGTTTACCCTGAAGGCTGCCCTTCCCATATTTATACACATGGAAACCTTGTTATTTTAAGCTCATCATGAAATATTCACATGAGACCAATTCTTCTTGGATTTTTTTCTACTTCACTACATTTTAAAAGCATGCTTTTAAAAGGCACAGCGTTTTCCTTCCGCAAGTCGAATAAATGTGAAGTCTCCCAGTTCATTCTGTCTCTTTGGAGCAGCTTTGTGTGTTAACCATTGCCTACTCACCACGGACGACATGTGGCATCCAGCTGATGTCAGGTGCACAGGTTCTCCGCTCCTGGGACGCGGGCTTGGTTAATTAGGGGTTCCATTCCTAATTGGTGTCTGTCAGTAACAGAACAGGAGGAAAGTGGAAAAAAATATTGATCTGGTATTTTCAGCTGTCTCAACAACCAAAGTGGATTGACTCTACAGATAAGCTGGCCAACTGGGTAAAGTAGCCCTGAAAGAAAGATCCCAGTGAAACGAATAGGCGGTGTTAGAGCAATATAGATTTCGGAGGCTAGTAGACTAGGCTTGCATCCTGCCTCCACCATCTCACCTTGGGAAGTTACCTTGCCTCTATGGAGCTTCCTCATTTGTAGAAGTTGTACTATATCTTGCTTGTGGGATTAGAGATCATGTCTGCAAAGAGGCTCACAGAATGCCTGGCACACAGGAAGCGTTCAATAAATGTTCCCATCATTGTTAAAATGAAACAGAGGTGATTTAATGGTCTCCAGCAGACCAGCCTTACTTATTCATGGAGCAGCTGGGGTGAGACCACCCTGCATGTCATGATTGAATTTCTTTTTCTGGTTGTACGTGGGACGTTGGTCGGATTGGCCTCATGGGCAGAAATTCGTACATTACTGGGTGTGTTAACTAGATTCTGAGGCTAGAGGGTATGTTGTAATATTTCTCCTGTCTGTAATATTGCAAAGAACCAGGAAGATAATGAAAATGCCCCTTCAGGAAAGAGCCAGCAAAATAGATTGCCCAAAGTGTTGGTGATTAAAAGCTCATCTACTCCCCCTTTGGGAGACGACCCCAAGCCTTCGCTCAGCTCCTGGTTTTCTGCAGTTCTCCCAGACTCAGAGAGCCGCACCACCGCCATCCCCGGGGGCACATTGGACACGCGGGAATCACAGCTCACACCCCTGGATCACACCCACCACGTCCATACTGCCCCCAAGGTCCGTTAGCTTTAATCCTTGAACGGCCCGCTAACATGCTTTTTTCTCCCTGTTTCCATCCTGACCAATATGTTCTGGACGGTTGCAGTAACCTGCTAACAAGTGTGCTCTTTCATATTTCCTCCCCTGCAATCGGTTCTCCGCACGGCAGGCAGAGCGATCTGCCGTGAATGCAGATCTGATCAAGGCACGCCTTCTACACATGCACGTGCACATGCACGTGTACACGTGTGCTCCTGCATTTCAGATGCATCTGTGATTTCCAGTTGCACTGATTAAGAATCAGAACGATTCACGCGGCCTGGTGAGGCCGCTGTGTTCCGACCTGCCCAGCTCTGCGACCCTCCTCGCCTTGCACCACACAGCCTCCTTCCCTCCTCCTGCACTCCAATCAGCCTGGCTTGCTTCGTGTTGACACCTGCACCAGGGCCTTTGCACATACCTGTGCCTCCTTCCCTTCCTCCTTGCCTAGTGGCCTTACACTTCGTTCAGGTCTCGGCTCAGCCTCCACATCTGCAGGAGTGACCCCCCACCCCCACCCCTCCCCACCCAGCTCCCTGCCCAGGTTATATCCTTCTCTCACTATGCACCCCTCCCCTCTGGAACTCGTTACGGTTGTTAGTGAACATGTATTTGTGTGGTAGGTTGTTAAATGTCTGGTTCCCCCATTACACTGCAAACTTCTTGAGGAGGTAAATACTGTGCTACTCATTCGATTCAGTAAACACTAACTAGGTTTTGTTTATAAGCAGGTTCTGGACTAGGTGTTACAAGGGTTATACAGATGAGTAGAAGACTGTTTTAGCTTTTAAGGAATTATATTAGTTATCTGTCACTGCATAACAATTTGCCTAAACTTAGCATCTTAAAACAACGAATATTATCTCACAGTTTCTGTGTGTCAGGAATCCTGGTGTGGCTTAGCTGGATGCCTCTGGCTCAGGGTCTGTCAAAGCCTGCAGTCAAGGTATGTTGTCTGGGGCTGCGGTCTCAGCTGAAGGCTCAGTGGAGGCGGATCCACTTGTAAGCTCACCCAAGTGCTGATGGCAGGTCTGAGGTCGTCACTGTCCAGAGACATCGGTTCCCTGTTATGTGGTTACTTCCTATGGGCTATGGATTTGCCTCTCCCTATGGCAACTCGTGACATGACACCTTGCTTCCCCAGATTAAGAGCTCCAAGAGGAGAGAGAGAAAAACAGGATAGCCAAGACAAGCTGTGCCCTTTTGTATCCCAGTCTCCTCTTGAAAGGCACATCCCATCACTCTTGCTGTATTTCACGGTTGGACGTGAGTCACCGGGTCTAGTCTACCCTCAAGGGGAGGGGATGCCACAAGCATGTGACTACCGTGGAGGGGATCCTTGAAGGCCATCTTCGGGGCCACCTATCAGGGATTTAAATCAAGCAGGAGGTAGGGTGAGGCCAACATGCTCACATCCTACAAGGGGGCTTGTCACAAGTGTCCTAGGGGGGATTTAAGACACTTGGGGTGTCAGGAGAAGGAAAAGTTTGCATTTAGTCAGGGATATGTGGGAAAGCATTCATGAAGGTGGTCACAGCTGAGATGGGCCCTGGGTGACTGCTTTCAGCAAGTAGAGATGAAGTAGAGAGGGGGACTCTGGTCTACTCCCCCCTTTTGACCCACTTTTTTTTTTTTTTAAGTTTATGTATTTATTTTGAGACAGAGAAAGCACATGGGAGGGGCAGAGACAGAGGGAAAGAGAAAATCCCAAGCAGGCTCCATGCTGTCAGTGCAGAGCCCAGCATGGGGCTCAAACCCACAAACCGCAAGGTCATGGCCTGAGCTGAAATCAAGAGTCAGACGCTTAACCGACTGAGCCACCCTGGTGCCCTTGACTCCCTTGTGATGAATTTGGTTATCTGCTCCCAAGGCATGGCAGATCAGAAGGTGGGGGTAGCAGTGGGGATTGTGCTTTCTCCGGCAGATACATCTGGAGCAAGTGGCAGCTAATGAGGGCAGTCAATCTCAAGAACGTATTTGGGGCTTCCAAATGCGTAGCAGTCTTGGACCGTTTGTTACAGATGCATTCCCTGGGAGCCTCTGAGGGGACTGGTCTGTTACAGGCTAGCAAGGGACCATCGAGAGGCAGTTATGTGTGTGCCGAGTATCCTGTTTGGGAAGGCAAAGGAAGTAATCATTTTAGAATGTTTCACTTTAAGCAAACCGGTTGCGTTGTACAATTTGGGGTCCTTCAAGGAGGTAGAACCTCCAGCCATCTCTCCAAATTGGATTATCAACATGAGAAAGAAAAAGGAAAGCTATACTAACCAGACATAGCATTCTTGAAATTACAACATATAGTTTGTACTTTTCTCACATGAATGAAGCACAGATCGACTTGGCGCTTAATTCATAAAGGAGGTGGCCGTTTTGCTTGATTTTGTCTTTACTAATTGACTAGTAAATGTGGCCTCGGTGAGAGAAGTCACTCTCTTGAGTCATGTGTAGCATGCCAGTTCGCATCTTTACAGCAGGGTTTTCTTTTATTTGCCTCTCAGAGAAATAGAGTTCATGGATTGTTCAGAGCATGTCTATTTCTGGAGGCAGATGGTTTAAAGGACCCACAAGATAGTGGCCCATTCGCTTTTTTTGATGTTCAAAGGAAATCTGTGGCTTATACCCAGTGAGAATGGAGAATGACTCTCCCACCCTCACAGAGCGCCAGCTGGGAGATTCTCTATTTAGATTGACATCGAGCCCTACTTTTGTCCGTGAAAATTCACCCATTTACTGAAATCATCCTACAGTATGGAGTAGTAGAAAGAGAAGGGGTCTGGGGTCGAGATTTTCACCATGGTTCTGCCTCTTGCTTCTGACCTCGGGTGACTTATGTCACTTCTCTGAGTTTTCCTCACTCTCCCTGCAAGATCAGCATCCCATTCCCTCCTCTATGGGATTATCGTTTAGAGTAAAATATGTGGAAATTACTCGATGTAGTCCCTGGCACTTCCAAGGGCTTAATAAGTGGGTTCTTTAAAAAGTCTAATTAAAAAAAAAACTGGCTCTCACAATATTTTCCCTTTGTACCCTATGATGATGCCTAATGAAAAATTAACAATGATCCTTTAAAAGCCTGTTCACTTATTGTCTCCCCAGTTGGACTCTCAGCTCCACCCAGGCAAGTGCATGCCTTGTTTTCTCTTACCATGCCTTTTCTGCACTGATTTTTCCCTCCTTCCCTGACTTCTGTTGGATTGAGTGATTGAGCTTTCTTTATTTTACCCCCCTCCCCATTCATTGTAATCCATGTACGTTTAAGAAGTTATCCTTAAGTTACAAACACATAGTGAAGCCTAAATGTGATCATTGCCTCTCCACCACTCCCAGACATAGAACCTTGGCATGTGGTTGTCATTCCTCTCTCATCAGACACAATATTATCGCCTGGACTCCAGTTCTACCCTTGTGCAAACCCTCACCCTCAGTTGGTCAATATCAGTATGATGATTTTATAGTCATTCTTATATTGATTTATCAACACATTCACCATGTTTCTTTGCTGGCTGTTATTATTCCTTGCATGTCAGTCTTTTCTTTCTGATTATAGTTTTCTTCTTTCTGAAGTGCATCCTTTTTAAATTCTCCCAGTGAGGGTCTAAGAGTGGTAAACATTCTTTTGCTGAAAAATGCCTCATTTTTACCCTTGCTTTTGAATGATAGTTTAGCTGGATACAGAATTTGTGTTTGACGGTTGTTTTCCTTGGCACCTTGAAAATTTTATGAGTTCTGATGCCACAGCCCCCTTCCCACGTGCCACCTACAAGCCATGCAGAAGTTTTAGTTGAATTAAGGACAAGCAAGAGTATAATTAAACCTGGCCTCCTAGAGAAGGCTAACATACTTCACCTGGCTGCTCATAGGAATTTTTTCCCCACACCTTTGAAAAGAGCCAAACGTGTAAATGCTGGAAGAAGATTTGCAGAGACTTACCAGGGATTACACGGCTCCAAGCCAGGCTTCCCAGCCCGTGGCCAGTGAACTCACTGCCACCTTCTTAGCACTCTGTGCCGGCTTCGGGGATGCTGCAGGGGAGCTCTGGTTTTGGTGTTTCTTTGCTTAGTCTGGATGTGGCTTGTATTCAGGGGAGACTTCCTGCACAGGAAGAGAACATGTACTTGGCTCTGCCCTCAGGGGTGAGGCCTCTGGCAGGCTTGAGGTCTGAAGGCCCCTGGCTCATAGGTAGACACTTAACATCCCCCCAAATCCATCTCTGCCCGCAGATTATGAAGGAGGTCCGGCGAGCGCTGTGCAACGCGGCCACGGACGACAGCAAACTGCTGCTTCTCAGTGCAGTGGGCAGCGTATTCTGCAGCGGCCTAGATTACTCCTACCTAATTGGCCGGTTGTCCAGTGACAGGAGAAAGGAGAGTACCCGGATTGCAGAAGCCATCAGGTGAGCTCTGCTCATGTTTGGACACTTTGGGACCTGCCTCCTTTTGCTAAATGTAGCACATAAAAATACAGGCTGCTCAGAAAAATTTGAATTTCAAACAACAAAGAATTTTTTTTTATCATAAGTACATCCTATGCAATATTTGGGATATACTTATACTAAAATTTTTTTTTGTTGTTTATCCAAACTTGAGATTTTAATTGGGTATCCTGTATTTTCTGCCCAAATTAGGGTTGCCTCTGCTGTCTAGATTAGATCCCACCTTATTGTTTCCCTCAAAAAGAGATTTTATTTCCTTATATTAATTAAGCACAGCATCCGGTAATGCCCATGTGTGAATCCATACTACTCCTGCCCTTTGCCTGATGGTGAAATCTTGGATTTTCTGGGTGTTCCTGTGTCCTGGAGCTGATGTGGCTCAGCCCTGGGGAGAGGATGGAGGGCTACCCTGGGCAGCTGGGCATCTTCAGACCCAGTGGGGTGGGGAGTGCCTCTCCCTCTCTTGTTGCCTTTGGGATAAAAGTTGGGATCCTGGGGTTGACATCGGATCCCAACAATCAGTATCTCTTTTGGGAGCACTGAAAGGTCGTCTTTTCCCCATTATTCGTAGGTTGATCAAAAGCAAGTGAGTGTTCTTTCGAGCAAGGGCCGTCACTCATCCTCCACCCCGGGAAGGGCTCACGCTTGCTGCATCTTGTGCCGTTCTCAAACCAGAGTCACGGTGCAGTAATGCCTCCTGCTGTCTTGGAAAGGGGCACCCATCTATGTGGGGTCATGGAGGCCGAGGCCACATGTGAAGGATTTTCTGGGGCCTCTAATCTCACTGTGCCTGGCAGCGTCCTACGGAGGCTAATTTTTCTGAGCCCATAGCCAGGGGCTATAGTCTCCATGAGCTGATGTGCAGACACTGTCACTGGTGAAGTTCTGAGTCCTTTCTTCAGGGTGAAGCATCGGGTGAAGTCTGCTCCAAAACACCCGTGTGCTTCATGTTGCCGATTTCTTGCCCAAAGAGACACCACAGAAAGGCCGAACACGTTATTAGAAAGAGCACCCTGGTTGCATGATGCTCCCAGGCATCGTGGGTGCAGACAGTCCTGGCCACGTCCACAGTGGTTTTTTCTCTGCTTGGACTCAGCTGTGCCTTTTAGCAGCTTCCTCGTCACATGGTGAGGGGAATAGTAGGGGCCCCTGTAAGCCTCCTTCATTTACGGGACCATCAGAGACGGGGCTCCCATCTCTGTGGCCTGAGGAAAGCCTTGGTGGTAGCTATCATGTGGTTTATGAATTTCAGTGGGTGCATTAGCTGGATTCCCAGAAGTCCCAAATTCGAGGAGAATTGGGAGAATTCATTCGCTCACCTCTCAAGAAATGCAGTCAGTAAGATTTAAGACATTTTCTGTCTCGTCAGGAAGGGGAGTTTCTCCTTGGCAGAGTGGAAGGGAGGTGACAGAGGGAGTCCCTCCCAGTGCTGGAAGGGAGTGGACGTTCCTAATTTCTGAGCCGGCAGAGACCCCGGGAGAGGGAGGGGAGAATGTCCCCTAGACCAGTGCTTCTCAGCCCCAGCAGCACAGAGGATGGCAGGGAGCTTTTCTACAACCCAGTGGCTCGCCAGCAACCCCAGAAGATTCCATATCAGTGAAAGTGGGGTGCGGCCAGCACAACTTTGGTTTTCAATTTCCCTCAGTGGTGCTCCTGTGCAGCCAGGGTGGAGAACCCCCCCCCCCCCCCCCCCCCCCCACCCTAACCCAGGGGTTTCTGCACCACTGACTGAGAGCACTGGAAGTTCTAGAAACAACAAGATCCTTCTTTTTGTGTAACAGAAAAGGTTGTTAGAAGAGGGTGAGGGAGAAGGTGCTGGAAGGAACAAGGGTGGGTGAGGAGCTTCAAGGGCGTGGATGGGGTACAGAGAGGACGGCCCTGTAGAGAAGAATGCCCATGGGGTCGGAAAGCGACTGTGTCCTGCTCTTTGTCACCGGATTCCTGAGGGAAGGCTCCAGCTCCACCAACTTTGGAGTGCTCCCCCCGGCAGCCACACTCCAGAGTCTGGGACACGGTGGAGCAGGGAAGCGTTTCCCAGAGAATGTTCTGGATTTCCCGAGAAGCATCATGAGCGAGGGGCCCTGTGGTTAAGTTTAGGCCATGCCACGAGTCCTGTCCCTGTGCCTGCAGATTTTCCAGGCATATTAACGTATTTGCAATCTGAGAAGTCTCTTGACAAAGAACTGTTTTCAGAATCTAGCATGGCTGGAACACATTTTGGCCCCAGAACCTTATAACCCACTGACAGTCCCTTGCAGTTTTCTGGGGGCATGCGTGCTGTTGGCTGGGCCGACCTCCAGGATCCGGCATGCCGCGGGTCCTCAGCGCTCCCCAGCGCTGCTCCCGCCCCATCCTCATCGTGTCCTAGAGAAAACACGTGCACACGTGACCCAGGACGCCGTGTTCACTCTGCAGATGTTTGTTGAATGAACTAGCAGATGTGAGAAGGGCTCAGATGATTCATTCGGTGCAGGCCTCTGTCCAGGACCCAAACGAGGCTGTCCGCCCCATCCTGAAAGAGAGGGTGCCCTCACCTGCACTCCTCGCAGGTGATGCGATGGCCTGCTGGCAGGTTGCTGGGATTAAGAGTAAGCAGATAACCCGTGTGAAAAACTTGCACTGGCCTGGCATGCAGTTGGTACTTCCAACAGCTGTAAAGAATTATCTCCATCACTAGTTCTGTGAACGTCCGGCCATGAGTTCTCGCTGAGCCTGGTCTGACTGTGGAGTGGGCTTCGAGAGCACCCCTGTGGGGGCCCCAGGATGACCGTCACCATGTGTGTCTGGTGCGCGTAGGTCCCGTACTGGCTGACTTGGCTCTGAACATTGGCAGTGGGAGGGCTGCACCCCTCGGCTCTGGTTAAAGGGACTGGGTGACCGGGTCATGCAGAAAATGCCAGTTGCTCTGGGTGGAATGTGGACATCCCCGCATTCAGACTATGGCTTCAGAGTCTCCTTTGGGCCTGGAGGGCGGATCTCCGACTGCCGAGAGTGGAGCGAGAGCAGCGCCCGCCCTCCCCGGCAGGTGCACTGACTGTAATAATAGCAGCAGTGACCGAGGGCTCCTGCGTGCCAGGCAGGACACGTTTGTCCCTCTGGGGACAAACCGTTGGCTTTGCCATTTGACAAGGAATAAAATGGGGTTCCAGAGTGTGAGTGACTTGCCCAACATCTCATGACTAGTTAGGGGCAGAGTAGAGACCCGACCCCAAAGTTCCTGCTCTTTCTGCCACATCACAGCAGCCCAGCACCCAGACAGGCAGAGGCCACAGGGCTCAGGCTCAGTGGAGGAAGTGGCAGAGGCCGGGGTCAGCATAACCCCAATCCCAACAGATGGACTTGAAGCCAAAGAAGACGGCATGTCATCCCCCCCACCCCCACCCCCACAGTCCCACTGCCAGAGTCAGGATCAGATATCTGAGCGGCAGTGTCTGTAACGCAATATCCTGTTTGCTGTCTGGCTTCTGTGTCCACTGGGCCCTTGTGATAGAGATCTCCTCTGAGTGAGAGGAAGAGGATGGGGAGAGTGGTCTGTGCATTTGCATTTTCGTATCTAGGACGGGAGCCCACCGCGTGGCTTGGACAGGAACAGGATGGGGTGGGGGTGCAGGGGCAGAGCTGGGCACACTCGGTCCCCTTAGCCATCCTTGGGGTACTTAATGCCTCTGCACAGGGCTCAGGTTGGAGACCGCAGAGGGAAGGGTTCTGGGCTCCAGCGCGGTGTGCTTTCCGTACGGTCGTGAGGGCGGAGGTGAATTCCCAAAGGGCTGCCCTGTGCATATTGGGGCAGACTGGACCTGCAAGAGGTCCACAGTGGGGAGGCGTCTTGATAGGGAAGAACTTCTTTACTCAAAGTGTTCCACAGCAGCTGGGGTCTGGTGCATCCTCAGGATGCCCGGAAGGGAATCCTGCACTGAATGGAAGATTTGGCCCGACGACTTCCTGAACTCCTTCCCGGCTCCAAGATGCAAGGTCCTGAAATTGTGTATGAGGGGGTTTAGATGTGGAACGTTGGCCCCAAATCACTCAGACCCTGTGGTTCCAAGGACCGTGTGGTTCCAAGGACCCTGCCAAGAAGTCCCACGTACCGTGCAGCCTCCAAATTACATTTGGTAGAAATCACATGTTAAGGCCAGTGACTAAAGCCTTGAAGTTAGGAAGTCAGGCTGGGAAGGGGGCCACCAGAAAACCAGGAATCCGAGGGCCACGGTGCCAGAATGCAGCAGCATCCTTTTGGGGGTGAGCTGCAGTGGGGCCGGCAGTGGCTGGGAGAACTCCCCCCTCGACTCACACATCGCTGCTCAGGAGTCAGGAGATGGGACGCCTCCAGCCTGGATTAAGGGTGAGACTTATGTGGCAACGTATAGGTCGTGAGACAGTCTTCTCACAGTTGAATCCAACCCCAACCTATCACTGTGGTGCCCACATCTCTTGGTGAGGATTGGGGGGAAATGCTAATCCTTGAGAAAGGATAAATCAGCCAGCCATTTGTATTAGTGAAGTATTAGCTGCTGTAACGAATGAACCCCAAATGTATGTAATGGCTCAGTTGTGATAGAAATCTACTTCTTATATATGGGAACCTGAAACAGATGTTACTTATCAGCCCATGGCTGTCCTCCAAGTGTGACTCAAGAGCACAGACCCCTTCCATCTTGTGGCTCAGCACATGCCTTCCAAGACTGCCATGCCTGTCAAGGTGAGAGGGCTTGCAGACCGCATGGCGGGAGGTTTCTGTGCACGGGCTGGAAGTGTGCGTATGGTTTCCATTCACATTCCGTTGGCCAGTGTTTCGTTCCTTGGCCACAGCCACCTGCCAGGGAGGGGGAAATGTGCTCCAGCAGCAGACTCGGGAAGAGGAGGGAAGGGAAATTGGGTCTGGTGAGCAGCTAGTGTGTCCCTGCCGCATGTCTCCCATCTTCAGTCTCAATCAGAGATTGCTCCTCTGTTCGTTCGGCAATCATTTGCTGAGTGTGAACTCCGGTACGTATGGGCACCACGCCGTGCACAAGGCAGACCTGTAGGTTTCCGTAAGGAGCTGGAGAGGGAGGAGAATCCAAAAACAAGCAATCAAGCAAGTGATGAGGATAATTGCAAATTGTGAGACTGGTGTTTCCCAAGAACTCTCAGAAGGCCCGTGCAGCTCACGCATCATGAGCAGGCACGAGGGAGACGAGATGTGCCTGGAGCGGTAAGCAGAAGCAGACCAAGGTCATGGTCAGGGGTGTGGATTTTACTCTTGTGACGTCTCGGTAGTTTCTCGTCTTCTACCTGGGAATAATGAAGGATGCAGGCTTTACTAGACATCTTGGATCTTTCCTCCACGTCCAGATGAATATTAACATTTTATAGATCTTATATAGCGGCTAGGGGAAGGGCGAAAGGCATTCTAGGGCAGAGGAAGTAGAGAGAGGTGTCTCTGCTTAATAGGTACAGATGCACGCAGGAACTTTGCTCACTGCAGAAGGGCAGGGTGATAAAATGTCTCCTGATCCCAGAGCCATGATCCCAGATGCCTCATGTCTCCATGCCCAGTGTCCTTCCCCACTTTTGGTCGAAGCCACCCTAACGTGTGGATCCTCATCAGCCCTTGATGAGTCTGGCATCCCTTTGGGTCATTCAGAGTCAGACAATCGTAGGACTGAAAGAAATGTTAAATATCATCAGTCCTCACCTGTGACCACCATCTGAAGCTTGAGTTTCTTTCTTTCTACGCCCAAAGTGATCATCCAGCCAAAGTTGGAATACCTCCAGTATTGAGGATTCATACTTCCCAACATCAGCCTTTCCACCCTCGGCCAGTGCCGTCAGAACTTTCCTTCTCTCCTTGTGTTCACATATGCCTCCTTTGTGTTGTCTTTCTGGTTCTGAACCTTGACGTTCAGGTTGGCTTCCTTAGGATATTTACAGTTTGTCAATATCCAGGGAGTGAGCGCAGTACTGGGACAACGGGCATGACCTAGGACCATCTGGACAAACTGGGAAAGGCGGTCACGCCCATGAATTTCTTTCTGAAAACCTGCCACCAACCACCAAGTGTGCCAGGCCTGTGACTGCAGCTCAGTGGCTCAGTGTCCAGGAGGATGAGACGCTTGCCTGGCACCCTCTTCCCTCTGATGACCGGAGGGTGCCAGGCAGCACTGGGGAAGCTTGCTGCCGCCTCGGTAGGTTCAAGGGTGTCAAATAGGTCTCGGCAAGCCTGGTCACCTGCTAAAGAGGGTCTTCTCTTTTCTCCCAGGGACTTTGTGAAGGCCTTTATCCAGTTTAAGAAGCCTATCGTGGTCGCCATCAACGGGCCTGCCCTGGGCCTCGGTGCCTCCATCCTGCCCCTCTGCGACATCGTGTGGGCCAGCGAGAAGGCCTGGTTTCAGACCCCGTATGCCACCATCCGCCTCACGCCCGCCGGCTGCTCCTCATACACCTTCCCTCAGATCCTGGGCGTCGCACTGGTAAGCCTCCTCGGTCCTTGGGCAAGATCCCTCTCTGGGATCCCGACAAGACCCCTTCTGTGTCCTGGGTTTAGGATATGGCCCTTCATATGAATAAGGACCTTGGGGGTGCCCCTCGTGGCGGAATCTGCTGACTGTCTCTGCTTCCTCTGCCTCCCCAGAGCAGCTGGGAGGAGGGCAGGCTGATCTTGGAGCCTTCCCATGCTGGTGCCAGACGGCACTGGCGGGTGTGGCCAAGGCCGAGAGGATGATGGCGATGTTTGCTTACCAAACACACACTTTGTTTACGTAACTGAGTTAACTCGATTCAGTTAGTTCACATAATAAGCACTTAACTAGTTAAAGCATGAAGTCGTCTGAGCGAACTGAACTAAGTTCAAGCACTTTGCATCCAGTTTTTTCATTTATTCCTCACAACAGCCTGATAAGATCCCGTATCAGAATGGACTGTGTGCTGTAGCAAACGATCCCACAATCCCCAAACAACAAAAACTTCTCTCTCACTCTTGCTGCGGTCCAGCCGTCCACACTGACTGGGGTCCCAGGCGTCTTCCATCTGGTAGATGTACCTCCACTTTGGCCAGTGGACGTGAAGAGAGAGGCTGGGCATTTTCAGGGGCCTGACTGCAAAGGGCATCTTCGTCCCCGCTCACTTTTCAGGGGCCAGGGTTCCGTGGCATGGCCACACCTACCTGCAAGGGAGGCTGGGAAATGTAGTCTTGCTGCGTGTCCCAGAAGCAGGAAGGGATTTTGGGTGATCACACGGCAAGTTCCACCTGGAGAACCTGTGTTGCGGTTTCCATCACACAGATGGCAAGCTGAACTGGAGACGTTAAGGAACCTACTGAGTCCCGTGTCAACAGGCAGAAGGGTGTCTGAGTGAGTGGTGGCGTTCACTGCAGGTTGCGGACAGATTCTGCGCCAATAGCCAGAAGCAGGTGTGGTCAGGGGACGGTAATAATAACAGCTAACACTTGGAAAGCACTTACCGTGGCCAGTGCTTGATGGCTGCTAACTCAGTCCATCCTCCCACAACCCTGTAAGGTAGGGCTGTTGTCATTCCCACTTGACAGATTGGAGGCTGAGGCTCGGGGAGGGTGAATTGTGCAGGGTCACACAGTGGGAGGAGCAGTCGTGGCATCTGAGCCACAAACTGTCTGGCTTCAGAGTCTGTGCTCTTAACCAGTGTGTCCCAAAGGAGGACCCGCCTCCGAGGAGTGAGTCTGAAATGGGGGCAGGGGTGTGTGTGTGTGTGGTGTTTGTTTGACCAAGACCCTATTGTCTGAAATCAACTTGAGTCTCCTCCTAATGGCTTGTCCCTCCAAGAAGGACCTCCAGACCAGTTCTGGAAAGCCCCAGCACCCACATATGCAGGTGTAGGTGCTCTTTCTTGTCTGATACTGGAGAAAAAATTGGCCACATTCCGTTGCATGGGACACTTGTGACCTCCTGTTAGTTGAGCGTGGTGGGCCTGTGGTCACCCCTGACATTGTCTGCTTGCTCTGCCTGTGACAGATGCTCCTGGAAACTCTTTCCTCCATTCTCTCCGTTCCCGGCTTCTTCTTGACCCTCCGGTAATCTATCTGTTTGTCTCTCACAAAGCCTTTGGGGGGGTCTTCTGGTTTGAGTTGGAGCCCTTTGGCAAGGAGCAAAAGGTTTGAATGACCCAGGCCTTCTGGTTCCTTCTCGTGTTTGGTCTCTGGCCTTGATGTTCACATCCCACAACTCGGAAAGGTTAACTCCCATGTGACTTCCGAGGCCTTGTGGGCTCAGTGTGGCCACCACCTGCTGAGCAGACCAAGGTTCGTGCCTCTTCCATCCTTAGGATTCCGGATATTCTCGGTCTCCCCTCCCCCCGCCTCCCCTCAGGCTGAGGTCCTTGGGTGAAACCCTCAGGCGCCAGCTGCCTCCGGGAGTTAGTGGGGCCCCTAGTGAAGTGCTCTTGGTACTGAACTCCTGCACAGGGAAGCCCGATCATTTTGGCCCTCCCTGCCGTCCCTTTGATGCTTGCACTCTGCACAACGTGTCCACTGTGTTGCCATCACACACCAGAACCACATGGGCACTTTGATGGCAGGGGACTGAGTGGGTTGTCCCAGCAGGATTCTCCAAGCTTGTGCTCACCATCACATGCGGGCTAGTTTACTGGTCACTTTCCACATGATGGTCTCACTCACTCTTTCTCAACACCTGCAAAGGTAGGTCCTGTTGCCCTCCGTTCTGCAGAGAAACTGAGGCAGTGGGGTGATAGCCTAGCAGGTGCTGCTCCTTCTTTGAGCCCACAAACCTCAACGAGCTCCCGGAAGGCACCAGGCCTTTTGCCCTCCCTGCTTAGAAGTGCAAAGATGAGTAACCCAGGGGGCTCCGTCCCTGATAATCCTGTCTGTGGGCGCTGATGCGTGGCTGGCGTGGTGTTTCCCTGCTCTCCTGTTGTCTCGTTGGATCCTCACAGGTGGTAATTGGTACCCACTTCAGAGATGAATAAACAGATTCAGAGAGGCAAAGAGATTTGCATAGGGTCACAGGGCAAAGCCAGAGGCGGAGCAGGGGTGTCTGATCTGCGGCCCATGCTTCCCTCTGCCCCGGTCCCGTTAACCTTGGCTTTCCTACCTGGGAAGGGAAGAGACTCGTAAGCGTCCACACTGCTATACTGCGGTGAGGTTCAGAGGTGGTTAGGGAAGGCCCCCAGAGGGGGCACCCCCCGAGTGAGTCTGCAAGAATGGGCACCCCCGTTGTACGCCTTCAGTGTGGGCTCGTCACTCTCTGATGGTGGCACGAAGAGGAGGAGCAAGTACGAGATCAGTGGAGACCCCCAACAGCCCATGCCCACGGCACCACCCCGTCCACAGGGCAGGCCCAGCAGGGGGTCGGTAAGGCCATTCGGATTCAGGACCTTGGGGCCTGCTCGAGGCTGCTCACGGTCTCAGCAGTGGCAGAAAAATGAGGCAGGCGGGGAGCCCAGGAAGCAAACACTTTCCCTTTTGATCTCGGCCACTGCGCTCTGCCCGAACTCAGTGCCACTCCTGTTCCTCCCCGTCCTCTGCGGTTGCAAAAATGTGAACACTGTACAGCCTTATCTCTTTCTGTCTCTCTTTTATTTCAACCATTTCGAAAACTCCAAGAATGTTGCTGACTGAGACGTGTTCTTGCCGACCGTGTCCTGTTTGGCTCCTTCTATTGAGTTCCTCGCTTTCGTTTCCCCTTCCTGAGACAGAGGTGTTTCTAAATAAGTATAATGACATATATTTGTCTTCAGACCTCTAACCAGATGCATGCTGTAGGCTCGTTACCGGCCTGATAAATTTCTCTACCCCGGCATAGAAAGATGGTCCTCTGGGTCATCACGACCCATCAGTGACAACCAGAACAAAGGGAAAAACACACATGTAGATCCAGCAGCTGAGAGAACCTGGCATGTGAGCATCGATCCGAGAGCGGCTAAGCATGCAGGGGGCAGGCAGATGGATGGCCGGTCAGGGAAGGGATTGTGTGCTGCGTGCAGGCGGCGGGGATTTATCCTGAAGGAGATAGGGACCCCATCACCTGGCGGTAGCCCTTCCATCCTAGTTATCAGCGGGAGAGTCACTCGGGAAGTCGCAGTGGTGGGTGCACTGTGCTGTCGGTGCCTGGGACCCCCTCCATTAGGCTCCTCCCAGAACAGGTACGGCAGCTGTGAACTACAAAGCAAGAGGAAATTCTTTGAGGAGTGGGGTTCAAAAGGAAACCACAGAAGGCGAGTGGGCAGGGGGAGGTGGTGGGGCGGGGAGGGTGCTTTTGGCTCTTCACAAGTGGGCACAGCCCTGGGCCACTGGGAGAGACGCACCTCTCTGCTTTAGTATTAGGGTATTATTTAGGACCTTTTTGGCTGCCGGTGATGGAAGCACTTTAATTGGTTTAAAGGGGAAGGAAAAAGAATGCAGTGGTTGTCATAACTTGCGTATGCAGAGGCGGAGCCTGTCGCTGGGGTCCAGGAATCCCAGCCCAGTCAAGACTCTTGTTCTCCATCCTTCCTTTCTTGGTGGACCCACTTCTCCAAAGAGTGGGGACACGGCAGGGGGTGGCCCTGGGCTCTTTGACTTGAGCATCGACCAGGCAGGGAGAAAGATTCTTCCCCCTCACCTCCAGCTTAGGGCTTTATTGCACAGGGTGGATATGTGTTCAGCACCGAAATGGACGCAGCCCGAGGTGCAAGCCCACTGCTGTGGGTCCGCCTCCAGACGTGGGGAGGGGTGTCGGGCAGACGGACCCACAGTAGGTACGCGGCTTCTTTTGGGAATTTAAAGAAAGCTGTGGACCCCCTGATCAGAAGCATGTGCACAGACACAGATGTCTTCAAGCAGTTCCCAAAGCTTATCTGACCCTCCCAGCTGATGATGACCCTGCCTTCGGGAGCCGGGACAGTTGTGCGTGTCAAGCCCAGGCCTCGCTAGCAGATGTGGGAGGCACTCTGGGCTCTCAGCCTTCCCTTTGCCTTTGCTTTTTTCAGGCCAATGAGATGCTCTTCTGTGGACGGAAGCTCACTGCCCAGGAGGCATGCAGCAGGGGACTCGTGTCCCAGGTCTTCTGGCCAACCACGTTCAGCCAGGAGGTCATGTTGCGGGTCAAGGAGATGGCATCCTGCAGCGCAGTGGTGAGTTTCTGTGTCTTTGTGTGCTTGTCCTTGCAACAGACCCATTTTACAGATGCGGGTGATGAGTCTGGAAGGGACTGACTGACTTGCCAGAGGTCACGCAGGGTGTATGTGTAACAATGCCGCAGATGCCTCTTCTCGGTGCCAAGAGCTTAAACCCGGAGAGAGAAAGTCCGCATCCTTAGGTATATTCCCCATCATCTCCAGTTGGAAAACCACACAGCAGAGATTTATGCTCTGGGGTAGAGTACGTTGCCTTAAAAGAAAGTCCTAGACACGCACGAAAGCACAAAACATCTGTAGTTTTTAAAGAATATGAGAAACAAAGGCAAATAAGGACCAAGGGTTTTAAGCCATCCGGGAGATGAGAGAAACCGGCATATCCGCCCTCGTATTTCACTTCTGCCCACTGAGCGCTTGGCACATTTAAACATCACCACTGGACTCTGAAGACACACCGAGAAATGGATAAATAAATAACAGCTCTGCAGAGGCGCCCGATTTTAATTAAGTGTCGATTTTATCTCATAAAAGTCACTCTGAGCACAGTACGGAAATATCCTGTTGAAAGGTGGAGCAGAGGCTGTTCCTGGAGCCACAGGGCTGGTCTAGGAAATGAGAAAGGTGATTTGGGAGAAAAGGGCCCACGTGAGGGAGAGCCTCCTTGTGTCCTCCAGAGTCAGGGGGCTGCTGGGCTGGAGTTAGGGGTCAGACCCGTGAGCACCCCTTCCTTGTCTCCGTCGCCCCTCGCCCCCAGCTGCCATGCTGCTTCATGATATGCCTCATCGGCCTCAATCGGGCACCTGCTGTGTGTAAGCTCTGCTCCCTGGAAGCCAGTGAGGATGACAGAGTGGCCCTGGGCCCGCATCGTTGGTGAACATTTAGTATGGGCCACACCTTCTGCTGACCTCTTTCTGTGGATTCTCTTTTAATTTTCCTGATAACTGCGGTGACCAGCTCATCCCACTTTGCCGGGGACCTTCCTGACTTGAGCACAGACAATCCCATGTCTCGGGAATTCCCGGGCAGAAAAAAGCCGGTGACCTCTAGGATCGGCTACCCGGAGACGCGTGTAGAAATTCTCAGCAGAGCAAGTGGTGTGAGTGAGGTCACAGGAGTCCGAAAACTCCTGCGGGGTTTAGGCAGTGGCTCATAGCAGTTTATGCAGGTACACAGGGTGTTGGAGGGACATTGAAGCTGAAAAGGAAGGTAGGACAAAGGCTTCAACGTTCCCCACCCCGCCCCAACCTCCGCAAGGAGTCTGGCCTTTGGGCAGTGGACGTACTCAGGGGAACAAGCTGTTGAAGAAATACTGCAAAGAAATGTCTCCTGTCAACAGTCCTGAAATCAGGAGCTTTGGGGTGAGCTGCCCGAGAAAGGAATCTGCCCTACGGCCTGGGAGACGGTGTTCTGCAGGGGAATGCCTGTGAGGCAGGAGGCGGCCTCCAGCCCAGGCCGAGGAGGAAGACCCCAGCTCCCTGCCGGCCAGCTTGAGCAAGGGAGCTCCTGTCTTGCTTTTCCTATCTGAAAGCACCTTGGGAGAGCGTGAAGCGAAACCTTGACATCAGCACAGGATGGTCGCGGCCGGTGCAAGGATGCCTGGGGCCTGACGGCCCCACGGCGGCTGTGCCCAAGCAAGGCGGCGGTCCGTCCGGGTCAGCCAGGTGACTGCAGGCCACGCCCGTCACGCAGCCCCGGGCACCTGGACTTCCTTTATCCGTCATGTGGTGACCAAAATACTACCTGTTTATGGAGTTATCGTGAGGAAGAAATGAGAGAAAGCAGGGAGAGTACTTCTCATGCAGCCGGTTGGTCAGTAGTGATTGTGGTGGCCTTGTTGTTATTACTCTGATCTGGTTGTTGTCGTTGTCGGGTCGTTGTCACTCATCACTCTGATGAGGATCGTTACCATTATTACCACTCGTACCAACGTCACTGCTCTCGTTGCTGTCCTCGGACATCACTGTCCTAACACCATGGCATCGTCACCACCACTGCCCTTCTCACCACCACATTACTAACATTAATTACCGTTATTGTTGCTACTGTAGTACTGTGGCATTATTACTATCTGTCATCGCTGTTCTCACCCTTCGCTGTAATTACTGCAAATTGTTATTGATTATTGCCACGATCGCCACTGATATTGGGCCGATGGATACTTTGACAGCCGTCCGTGTCCGTTCGTTATCTTACTCTGTGGTTCCAGCCATCCTTAAGCCAGGTGTCATTGTTGCTGTTTCACAGGTGACAGAGAAGCACGGGGAGGTGAAGTCGGGTGTCTCCCAATCTTTTTCATGCTGCCTGTACAGAATGATACTGAGTTTGTGTCAGACCCTCGGGGAAAGGACAAAGCTCTTGCGGTCGGGGGTAACATGGGCCCCCCACCCCCACCCCGGCCATCCCAGGGGCCGAGGGCTCAACATCTTGGCATGCCTGGAATCCATCCCTGGCATCGCCGGGGTCACAGGCCTGGGAAGTTCCGGACTACAGGAGGCAGTCTCTTCTGGCTTTGGGCATCGGAAGGTTAGCTGGTGCTTCATAGGCCAAGTACGTTCTCCTGGAGCAGAGGTCCCGGGGCCGGCTAACGAGGCTCATGCGTTTCCCTTCAGGTGTTGGAGGAGTCGAAATGCCTCGTTCGGAGCTTCCTGAAATCTGTGCTCGAAGACGTGAACGAGAAAGAATGCCTCATGCTCAAGCAGCTCTGGAGTTCTTCCAAGGGCCTGGATTCCCTGTTCAGCTACCTGCAGGACAAAATTTACGAAGTCTGAGGAGCCCCCGGCCACTCGCCCCCACGCTCGAGGGCACCTGACTTCCAGCTTTGCGCCGTGCCTCGGAGATCGGAGCACAGAGTGTGCTGGCTGAGGGGTCCGTCAAGGTGTCTCTCTCGTGTCCATTTCCTCCTGTCCTTTGGTTGTTCTGCATTGGTTTGGTTTTGTATAACAGATGGGAAACTCAGCATACTTGGCCTCCCCCGGGCCCTCCCCCCACCCGCCCTTCCGCTGGCTAGAGAGCTATTGAGGGCTATATCTTCCCAGGCCTCTGCCAGTCGGTCCCCACTCGCGAAAATGCACCACCCTGGTCCAGGAAGGGGAAGACCGGTCTCCCCCTTCCTTCTGACTCAGGCTGCGTCTACACAGTGCCTCTGCTTTGGAGACTTGGCTGTATGGCTCTCTCCGGTTAAGTGCAGATCCGGTGACAGGGGACGGTCCATCTTAGGGAATTTCCAGACCGATGAGTGAAAACGGTTGTGTAGAGCCAGCCTCACTGTTCTCTCTGATGCAAATCTGTGTGACTTTTAGGGCTTGGTCTTAAAACCCAGTTGAGCGATTTGCAAACCCAGATGTCGTACGTTTAGGAATGTTTTGTTAAATATATATTTTTAAAACAATGTAAGTGGAAATTCTGATAATTTATGTGTATTATATGTAACGCTAGTTTTACAAAAACGTGAACTACTAGGAAAAATTGTTTTTCTTTAATCAACCTTATTTAATTTATTTATTTTTGTTTATGTATTATGATATCTGTTGTCGACACAGATATTATTTTCATACTGCCCTGGACCAAATCCCACACGAGCTTCATGCCGTTTGGTGCATTCTAGCAATGAACCACGCAGAATTAAAATTCAGAGAGATGTGAGTGAAAGGGTCCCTGTGGGTAGGAGGAATAGCTTTGCAGATCCTCGTCATGTAAAATGGTTCTCAGCTGTAATAATTGCATACTTGTTGTTGGGAGAAATTATGGGAGAGTTTTTTTCTTCACTCTGCTGCCTTGAAGGAGATAAAGGGGCCTCTGGCCTGAATGGTACTGAGACAGACCCAGTCCCTAATTTGTGACGTCAGGAAGAGCTGATCAGCTCTGATCAGCTGATCGGGGGGCGAAACAGATGGTTTCCTGTCTCCTTCTGGCCCTTTCTCTTTTAAAGGTGAGCAGATACAATGGGAGGGGATTCACGGCCCCGAGCTTTGTGTTTTAAGAACAGGTTGAGCTTCTACACTATGGCTAGAGACGTGGTCTTGTAGACGGTGCGTGTGGAGTTCATCTGGACGCGATCCTTACAATGGCCGTGGTTCCCTCTATAGACAGCCTCTCTCCTTTTGAGTTGCCCATGACCTCAGGAGGGTCAGGGAAGAGGAAGCTTCTTGCCTTCCCCTCCCTTCTTCTCCTGTCTCTGCTTGGTCCCCGTGGGATCCTGCAGGAACCACAGACCTAGGCCGTAAGGGATTACTCTAGGGAAACAGCCGCTTTTGCCCAGATGCCTGCTGTCCCATCTCCACTTGGGTCTGTCTCTTCCTCTGGGAAACCAAATGTATGCTTTCCCCAAGCCCCTGGACAGACATCGTTCCCGTGTGTTGTGCGGATAATCTCTTCACCACTGCTAAATCCTCTGAAGAAAGAGCCCCATGCTTTCTGTGTATTTTCTGGGGGCAGATGGGTTTCTGTCTATAGAGCAGTGTCTGGGTTCTTGTTAGGGTTGGCAGAGGATGTTTGGAAGTTCCCTTGGATCAATGTCCACCTCTCTTCTCTGCTGAAAGAACCTGAAATCCTGTAGCTTTGGACATACCACAGATCCAAACTTCTGAACATTTGAAGGATAAGGTAAGAATATGAAACCGTTACTCAGGTAGAGTTCCTGGCCGTCAGTTTGTCGGTTCTGGGTACCACAGGAGGTGTCTTAAAAGACGGTCTGTGTTTTGGTTGTTTCTATACAGTCTATTCGAGGAGGATGTTCCACCAATTGGGCAGAAGTAGGTTAAATCTGTTTGCTGTGGGGTAGACCGCATGGCTGAATTCTCCACTTTCTGGATGGTTGTTTTGATACTGTGAAGATGAAATCGAGGTAACTTTTAGCAATTTGACCTGGGATGGAAAATGCCAGAGCTGTGGATGTGTCAGGGTTTATTCCTAACAGCTTTCTCGAGATGGAGCGGGGGCGGGGGGTGGGGGCGGGGCTCAGGCTCTCACTTCTTATCTTCGGTCACAGAGCCCTCTCTCCACCCATAGCACCCTTTCTCCCCTCCCTGAACCCTGTTTTACCTCCACACCACCCTGTCTGTCCCTTTCCAGAGCCAGGGCAGGTCTCTGAGGAATTGTGCCTGGTTTTGGCAGACCTAACCCAGAATGACCTTTGGGGTTGGAAGAACAGATAAGGGTGGGAAGTTAGTTGAGAGTACTTCTTCAGTCAAGGAACCTTCTAGGCAGCCCACTCCTTGCCATCCTGTCAGCCATGCGTTAGAACTCCCCTCCCTTCTCTGCTCCAACCCCTGGTGGTCAGCACCCAGCGTCTTGTGGTGGAACTGCCAGACTTAGTTCCGGTTCCAAGAGGACTTTGTGCGGAACTTTGCCAAGTTGGTCAGAGCTCCCCACCATTCAGAAACCACACTCTAGTGCCCTTGTGCCCAACATTCCCCTTCCTGCGTTCAAATAATGTCTGTGGGCAAAAACTGTCAAGAACTACCCTCTAAGAATGAAATTGGGTAGCTTTGAGAAGGCAGCAGAGAATTGATTTAAAATGTTATTCTTGTTCACTGTAGACTAAACTAGGAAGTGTTCTCTCTGAAGCATGACAATAGGTTTTTTTTCCATATGAAGTTCGGTATGAGGATGGGAAAGTGGTAATCAAAATGGACCCTGATCAGTACAACTGTAGCTCCAGATATCCACGTTTAAAAATAGCCTTGACTGAATGCTGAATGGCGTTTCCCATTAATTGTTGGTTTAGAAAATTTTGTAAACTTTTTTTAATTTGAAATTGAGTCACATTCATGCAATTTTCCAATCTTGTTTCTGTGGAAAACACTTTTTTAAGAGAAACAAAGAGAAATGTCTTCAAATCTTCCTAAGTGAATATTTAAAATGCAGAATTGCTTCTCTTCTGTGTTTCTGGATTCAGACACTTAGATCTGTTGTACATATTAGTTTAGACACTCTCACTAATATACACAGTATTTAAGACTCTAAATGAGATTTCTTAAGTATTTTATTTTATTCTCTGTAAATGGTTTTGTATAATCTTTAAAAATCTACACTTTGCCTTTGTAGATATTTAAGGGAAACCATTTGGGGGTTGTCTTGCATGTATATTTTTGTTGTAGATAAGTGTTGCTCAGTTATTTCTGCAAATTTGGGTTGAAATGCTTACAGACTTTAATACAGTATCTATTTTCAGAATATAAACTTTTTATATTTCTGTGATAAGTTAGGATATGCGTTTTAGGCAATCTTTTCCATTAATATCACTTGTTCTTTCAAAAAATAGCATACTGGTTTGTTGCCAATGGTTTCATTTCGTTTTCTCATTAGAATCTACTGCTCTCGTGTTGTCAGAGAGCAGGTTTAATCTTCTTTTTCTCAAAGTAGTTGAGTTTGAAGCATCATTTGAAAATGTATTGAATTTGTGGATAAGCCTTACCATTAGGATCAGTAAATTTGCCAACCTTTGCAACTACATATGTAGTTTAGGACCTCCCCATAAAGTCTCACTGTGTGGCAGTTGATGGAGTCTGTGAACAGAGCCTTAAGCTTGTTGCAAAAAAAATAAAAATAAAAATAAGGGTAATACGGGTTGTTTCTTCCAAGCAACGTAAGCCATGTTGATGGACTCAGTGCAGTCTGTAAGTCATGGCTAATCCGAAGAGTTTGGTTGAGCTGATGGCAGCAGGGGCCAGATAGGCACCTTGGTGATTTATCTTTCACCATACGAATGGACCGAGGACAGGTTTTCCGGAGCCACCTTCGTACTATTCACGTGGTTTAGACATGGTCACAGGGAGGGCTTGCTGGTCTATCATTTGTTCTGAACAAATGGCATTTCCTGCTCTTGACCTTGGCGGTTGACCCCGGGTCCCTTGGGGTTGACCTGGAACCATCCAGCCTGGCTGAGGTCAGCACTCCTTGAGAGGTGTTAACAAAGTTTACATGTGAGTCTTACTGTGTAGACAATCTGAAGTCAATTTCAGTTACGTAATCAGCATTCCCATGTGCCCTGAGTGTCTTATCGATGAACTGTGCGTGTTAAGCCATACTAAACCTGAGTTTAGCAGGGCAAAGGCAAACTAGATGAAGAACATCACATCAGCTGAGCCCTTTCACCAGGGGCCGTTTTAATGGAGTAGAAGTCGCGGAGCTCATCGGTGGTGCATCCACTGTGTCCGAGACCTACCAAAACCATCTGGGATTTGGACTTAAATTTTTGCAAAAACTTACGATTCCTTTCAGTTGGCTGCACTTCCGTAGCTACCAACTGATTCTCCTCACGAAGGCTTTACAGGTGACTCGAGACCAGAGCTGCTGTATGGCTGAAGTCAAGTTATTGTGCTCAGCTCTAGTAAGCGTTCACACAGTCTACCATCAGGGTGGAGATTTGCTTCCAGTGTTTGCAGTGTGTGAGGCAGTCAGAAGAACTGACGTCTGATCTTAAGCCTCAGCTCTGGTGTCTCCCTGGGTTAACCATGCCTCATTGGCCCAGCACCTGGCCTGACGCTGGAGCTCGTTCAGGGGGCTCCAGGAAGTTTGGAGGGTGTAGAACGTTCCATCTGGTATTAAATTTGTCCCTGTGCCATGAGTCCCAGCTGGAAGTCATTTTGCTGATGTCCACATTGACAGGATTGTGAAAATATTGCCTTTCATAAAACCAAGGACCAAAGAATTCCATTATTCCAACAAAACCCCAGTTTCATAGACTGTGGGCACATCCAGACAGAGGTGTGCGTGCTTTATGGCACAGAGAAGCTGCTCGCTTCTGCCAGCCTGGCTGGCCGTGCAG